CAAAGATAACTTACAATTAGCATACATTTTAGGTTGGGGGTATGGTTCTGTTCTGGCAACACTCCCTGCCCATCCATGCAACCTAGCATGGATAGGAGCAGGGAGAGCATAAATAACCCCCCTAGGGTAAACTGAACAGATCCAACATTGATGATATCTGCTTCGTTAATCATTAATATTCTAAGTGATTATTTTATATATCAACATAATTCAGTGGTCTGACTCAAGAAGAAATATCCAATGCTAAGTCCTGACTGGACGAGAGGAGGAATTGGGGATGGAGGTGGGTGATTAGCTCCTGAGCAAAGCGATAGCTGCTGAATAATGACTGAAAGGACCTTATAAAGGGAATTATGATTGGCGTCGTATTCCTATAGGTAGACCTTGATCAGCTGAGTGTCAGCTGATGCGAGCTTGACTAACGTGACCTGCCAGAACTAACGCTACGCTCCATTTCAGACTTTTCTAGAGTTTTCCCAGTGCCGTTAGGAGTGAAATTAATGTACAAGAAGCTGCTGTTAATTGCAGCAGGTTTATCTGGCCGTCCTCGTGTCTTTAACTCTGATCTCAGGAGCTCCATTCAGACGCCCGGCGGATCCATGAATAAGGGATGATATCGCTCTCGCTCTAAACGAGCGGACTCATTAACCAGCTTTAATCAGGAACGCCTTTCTGTTGTCTGCTCATTTTGGCTCCTGGAGCCGCTGATTAAAGTCATTAGGTTTGAACCCGGCATGAATGGAAATCAGTGGCAGCGTCTCTGATGATGATGATGATGGTGCATGAATGCTGATGTGTTTCTCTCTCCTGCACAAACGCAGTCAATCCGTGATGAGCTGCTCTTTGAGTTTATTGTATGGATATCCGTCTCACGTGTCTCTTTGTGGTCCTGTAGTGTTGGGGAAGGTCCGCAGTGCCGTCGGCAGCGCTCAGCTCTTAATGTCTAAGAAGTTCCAGCAGTTTCAGGGTCTCTGTCAGCAGAACCTGGTGAGTCTTTATAACATTACTTCACTTACAGGCTCAAACACAGTCAGGGCTCGACGCTTACTTTTCTTTTTAGGAGCACTTGTGCTCCTAACTTAAAAAATGTAGGAGCACGTTCAAAATTTTAGGAGCACCTTCTAATCAATAATCCAAAATGTTATCAAAAAGTAGCCTTCCCATTACGAGGTAATATTTGACTCCTCTTACTTTATTAAAAGTATGTCATCTTTTGTCAAATTCTTTAAAAAATTATATTTTATAAGCTTTTTAAAAATTGTAATTAAAACGACAGAATAAGAACAAGTAGAATAAGGAATATAAGTTACCAATCAAATGAAATCAGTATTAACAAAAATAGTTCGTAGAGGTGGCACAGAAGAACACAAAAGAGGCTTGGTGT